CCCCCCCCCCCCGGGCTGGCAGGTGCACCTCCCCCACCACAAGGCGCTGGCACGTGCCCTACCTTCAGCGCCTGCTCCTTGAAGTACTGCAGGGCGTAAGCAAAGATTTCAAGGGCTTTGACTTTCTTGCCGTTTGCTGCCGTTAAGTCTGTATCCATGGTGAGGTCCTGGTGGGGAGAGGAAGGAATAGTAAGGCCAGGGAGGAGAAACACACCTTGTAGCTTCGGGAACTGCTACCTGGGGATCTGGGGAGCCCGGTGAGCCATATTTCTGTTTCTTGATATTTGGGAGACCAGGATAGTGTGTCCCCCAAAATGAGACTGGCAGCATTGTCCCCTTACTCTGTCGGGGGCCCTTGCTGTCCCCTTCAGCCCCTCCCTCCACTTCTCCCTATCTTCCTCCCTCCCTCTTGTTCTCTCTCTCCTGGATCCTCACAGAGCAGAGGTTTCGGCACAGTGACAGAGCCCAGGAAGGGGGAAAAGTCAGCAGGCACCACTGCTGATGCCATTTACATACTATTTCCACACTTGGACACACATGGTCACCCTCAGGAGCCCCCCTGGCGGAGGCCTAAATAATCACACCAACTCGCTGACGTGCACGATGCTTAAACAGACATGAAGCTTTCATTTCCCAATAGGCTGCCAACCAAGTCTCCAAAATAGAAGAGCTCCTATTTTAAGGCTTGTGCTTAATCCTCTTGGGAGCACAGCATCACTGCCTCCCTCCCTCTGCCAGAAGCTAAAGCAGTCCGGTCCTTGGGTAGAGGATGCTCTGGGAGACGCTGGCTGGACTGGGGTCATAAAAAAAACGACAGGAAAAGTGCTCACAGGGTGGAGATGGGCAGAGAACGGGGGTGAACATCAGGAGGACGCTCCCAAGTCAGCCCGAAACCAACAGGCTCATTACTGCCGAGGCAAAAAATCAGTGGGGCCTCCGGATCGATCCCGGCTGGATAACTAGGCTTTGCCTTTAGAGCATGAAGGGGCACGAGGCTACTAAACCGGCCTCGTGGAGCCTGTCAGCCATCCTGAGCCATGGACGCAAACTCACTCCTCCCAACCAGCCACCTCCCACCCCTGGTGCTCAGCAGAGACGCTCCAGATTTGGGGAGGCGACTCCCAGGCTCAGAGAGGTGGCCGAGCACCTGGAAGCCATAGGCTCAGAACTGAAAACATTCAAAACTGAAAAAATTCCTGTGCTTTCCACCTGCACAAGATTGCTGTTCAGCACTGAATCCCATCAGGTGAACCGGGAAGGATGTATTTCTAGCAGAAGTCTGTCTGCTTCACAGAGATAGAACCACACCAAGCAGCACGCAGCCTTGGAGACCGGGTGCTGGCAGCTGGGTTTCCATTAACATTTGTCTTGTCATCTGCAAGCACTTAAGAGCCCACAAGGAAAGCAATAATGGGAGCTAGCAATTAACTAGAACTTACTAAGTACCAGGCTGGCTCTAAGAGCTTTGCGTATTTTGATTCCGTTAATCCTTACAACATCCCTATGAAGAAGGCACTGTCAGTGTCTCTATTTTACAGGAGGCGCAGAGAGGTTAAGTAACTTGGATTAAGTATCTTGAAGGTGGCAGAGGCAGGATTTTTAAATCGAGGCCGTCTGGTCCCGGGGTCTTAAACACCATTGCCATCCTGAATCTCTAAGTACCAACAATTAAGGAAAATTTATGGGATAAAGTGCTCAAACTGAGGAGAACCTATCCTGTGGCCCAAATGTCTCCATGAAGCTTGGGAGACGGGCCTAACTGATGGAGACAGCTTCTAGAACTGGGAGTTGAGCCTCTAACAATCGGGCACTTGATTTCCTGAGCTGCCTGCTTCCCCACACAGAGAGGAATGGGCCAGTTGTTACTTTTTTTTTTAAATTGATTGATTGATTGAGAGAGAGAGAGAGATTGAAAGGGAGACTATCCCGGGCAGGTACCACACTCAGCTCAGAGCCCGACGTGGGGCCTGATCTCACAAACCGTGAGATCATGACCTGAGCCAAAATCAAGAGTCAGACATTTAACTGACTGAGCCACCCAGGTGCCCTGCCAGTTGTTACTTCTAAACTAGTTAGTTAATAGCTACTGTCCTAGGTCCCCTAAATGCCCCGAGCCCCCAAGTCCCTCCTTCAGAATTCCCGATCTCCCAACAACCCAGCAACCGAAGGGGGATCTCCTGGCGTGGCATGTCCCCCACCCCTATGCCTCCAGCCAGCGTCCACTCTGGTCAGTTTCCAAGGCAAACAAGTTGTTAAATATTCTGAATATCTCTCTGCCCACGTGTATAAAAGGAAGTGCTGTCTACTCCACAAAAGTGTTGAGTGCGCCAGGTCATCTCTAAGATCAAGGTAAATGGATGTTAATTTCTGCTTGGGAGAAACCTAAGGGTTTCCTGAGTTGGAAAGACCTCCCCCACCCAGGCTGGAGGAACCCTGTCTCTCCAATGTGGAGGACCCGGGGCCAGGGAGAGTATAGCTTACCCCAGTGGTATGCAACTTCATCTTGAACTTCTCCAGGTACAGCCACTGCTTGGCCTCGTTGGGATCCAGGTCATGGTAAAAGTCCCTGGCGGCATATCCAAAGCTGTGGAATTTCCTCTCGGGAGTCAACAAGATGGTGGTCGGGGTCTTCTGGTTGGACACCCCAGGGTCGCCTCCTTCCCATCGCCTGACACCAAGGAAAGGCAGAGGTTATGGGACCTTCTTTCATAAGCCCAGTTCGGACAGCAGTGATTCGAGCACCTACACGTGCATGATTCTTATAGATGTGGGTGCTCATAATAGCTGCTACAGATGCTCTCTGGTTCAGCTGGCTGAGCAGTGATCACTGATACGACTCCGCTTAGAAAGCAATACAAAAGGGGCAAGCACCAGGTTCTTGCTGAATAATAAGGTCTGCTTTGACCTTCCACTCAGTGTTTACTGAGGATCTACTCTGTGCAGGTGCCAGTGACAAGGAGACGAAACATCTCTCTGCCTTCCAACAACTCACAACCTAGTAGGTTATGTCTTTTGGGGGGAGATAAGGGGTCTGTTTTTTTTAATTTGCAAGCACCCAAAGCAAATGTATAGCTGGTTTGTGTCCTCTCTAAAACAAGGTAGGGTATAAACAAATACATAAATACCAGGCTTATCGCATGGAAACAAGGGGCCCAGGGAAATGCCCTGGGGGTCAGAGAAGGCAGAGGTGCCAGGTGGTGGGGCAGGGGAAGAATGCAAGGCTCAGGACAGACTCAAAGGACTGACCGAGAGCTAGATCTTGAAGGATGGAAGGGCACTGCAGGCTGCTCAGAGGTGGGTGAACACAGGACATTTACCGGGATGCAAGCGACCGTGTGGGGTAGAGAAGGAGTATGTAAATGGGAAGTGTGAGAAACGAGATTGGGAAGGTGTTTGGAAGCAGGTGGAAGAGACCCCTGGGGAGAGAGAGACTTAACCAGTGAGTAACAGGGAGCCACTAAAGGTTTTAGGGCAGGGGTATGGCAGAATCCGAGTTGGGACTGAACAGAGCAAACTGAACCAGACAGGAAGCCAGGAGGCTGAGGAGGCTCAGGCCTGTTCTGGGAGCAGAGACAATGGGGCTCCAACCAGAGTAGAGGAAAGCGGTGGAGGAGGAGGGGCCATCCCAAGTGAGAGCCCAGCTAAATGGCAACGGAGGTGAGCAGGCGCTCACCTCCCAGATGTTCCAACTTCAGAGCCTAGAGGAGAAAGCGCCATTCACAGAAACCGGGAGCCCTAACCAAGGAAAGTGGGAAACTCCAGGTGAGCCCGCTGGCGTTGAACTCCCAGGACGGGGTTGAAGATGTAAGCCTGGCGTTCACAGGAGAGACCCAGGAGGAAACAGAGTTGGGTGCCTCCATACCAGGGTGACAGCCACCGTGACAAGGTGGCAGGAGAGCCCTGATGGGAGCAGTGAGGTGGGAAGGGACTATGTCCCGCAAGTCTGTGTGCTGAAGAGGTGCCAGAAGAGGCGAGAGGTGAGGACAGACAGACAGGCAGAGTCTGTGGGATTACATCCTGGAACTGATGGGAGGGTAAGGGAGTGGGGAAGGGGGTCAGTGGAGCCCCAGAGAAGCTTCCTTCCTTCCCTCAGGTAGAAAGAAGGAGAATACGAAGAAGAGTAGAGAAAGCAGGTGACTCGAAGCTTCTCCCTCCCGCTCTGGGGCCACGGCAGAGAAGCCACGGCTGCCACGGTGGCCAGGAGGCTCTCTTCTGGACCAGGTCCCGGCTCTGCAGCTGGCTCCCATCCTGCCACTAGCCACATGACCACTACGAGGAGCATCTGGTGGTGACACAGAATAGGAGGGGAAGCACGCCTCTCCCCCCCCCCCCCCCCCCCCCCCCGCCTGCCAGGAAGGTGGCAGAGCACCTGGCTGAGCTCACACCTGCTCCTGACACGGCACCGTGAAGCTCTGGTGGCACCATCACAGTCCAGGTGGAGAGTCGACCTAGATTTGCCATGCAGATGGGCCTGGAACCGTCCCTGGCAAGTGCCCCAGTCAAGCTCCATCAAGATGCAGGCTTCTACCCAGGGAGACGTCCCCGTGGTGACCCCACTGAGACACAGGGATGATCATCACCCAGGCGGACACTGGGCACCTGAGCCAGGGTGACATTCCAACGTCTCAACGAATGGACTTCCTGTTACCATTAACACTGCCATTTTCAGTAGGCAAGGAACCTCCCGAGTTTTTCCCCTTCCAATTTTTATTCCTCCCTTCCTATTAACATACACAAAATTAAGCTTTCTCAGTCATAATTTTGTCAGTCTGTATCATGGTTATGTTAACCTGTTCTGATTGAAGTAAAATTCAGGTAGAACCTCTCTCCAAAATCTTCTCTACAAGAACTGAGATAATGTCTCTAGAGAACCTGAACGCTGCAGCTACTGGGTGAGAATTCCTCCCAAGCAATTGCAATGTGTTTCTGCTCTTGGTTGTTTTTTTTTTTTTTTTTTTCTTTCCAATTTTCATTACAAGGCTATCCCTTTGAAACAACATTTCTTAAAACAACTATGTAGAAGCTAATAAACACTGGTTCTAGCTTTTCCTAGCATGCTCTTGTCTCTTCGGGGTTTCCCTCTCTGGGGATGACAGAGCAGACCCCACGGCAGGTGTCTGGCTAACCAGAGGCAGAATCCTGCTGACGACTGGACACAGAGGGCTATGCTGTCATCAGGCTTCTCTACTAGAACCGGCTTTTCATTATTTCCTGATGACAGGACACCCCCGGGTCTCTGCAGCCTCTTAGGATATCTAAACCAAGATTGGGGCAGGGGTCACTTTTGCTTCATGACTTATGTTTTAAGCAGCACGCTATAAAAACGCATAAGCTCTTACTCCAGGAGCGATAACGAAATTCCACAATTACCAGCTAAAGGAGTTGTTGCAAAGCCAATCACAATGCATCTTGAGAGCCATCCTTGGGTTTGGAAAATCAGAGTGATCGACTCCTGGCTCCCAAAGCTTTGAGGGGCCACAGACTCTGCAGGAGGGCCATGCGCCAGACCAGAGGAGCCGGTGTGGATGCCGGGATCGACCAGAAACCTTGAAGACAATTGGTCACGCGTGCGGATGGGGTGGACGAGAGGGCGTGCCAGGCTGCTGTGTGCCTGGTGGGGCGGGGGTGGAGGGAGGGGCGTCCTGAGCACAGAGTGTGTCCCAAGAGACCCTGGGCAACTTCAGGGTCACCCTTCAGGTTCACGTGGCTGAAATCCACCCCTCTGTTTTTTCTTAGGCATGGTGCTTTCTGCTTCTGGTCACCGTCATGTAAGAACTAGCACCTTGCCTCCTTACATTTCAGTCCGTGCTAAGCCCTTGACGGGAAATCTCATTTCATTTGTGCACACTCGGTGAGGCAGACAGTCAGTATCCCCATTTCACAGATGAGGAAATTGAGGATTAGAAGGCCCAGCACTTGTGTAAGCTCACACAGTATGTGGCCGAGCTGATGCCTGGACCTCCTCCATCACAGATACCCTGAGCCAGCACCTCTTGCCCGAGCTGCATGCTGGAATAACCTGGGCCAGATTTCAAACGCGCTGTCCAGGCCCTTCCTCAGACCAACTGAGTCAGAATTAAGTCAACGCTTTTATAGACCAGGAACCTGGAGCCCAGAGATAAGAGTGGTTTACCCAAAGGGGCACAGGGGTTTTGGGCTGAGCTGGGCCACAATCCAGGACCCGCCTACTAAGTGCCACTCACCTGCTCCTTAAACTAACTCCCTTCCCCTCCCCCAGGTCCGCCCCCAAGTGTCCACAGGTGCACGGACAGGTGCCTGCACTTGGCCCTCCCCACCCATACCACAGCACTCACCTCATCACGTGGATACATTCTGGCTCCTTGGTGAAGCTATAGGCATAGCCACTGGACGTGGTTCCAAAGTCAACGGCCACCACCACGAGAAATGTCTGCTGTTCCGAGACATTCGGGTCAGCGTCATTCTGCAGATACACCAAGTTAAGGTGTGGGGGTGGGGAGTGGCGGTGGCCCAGCCTGGCTTTCAGGAGGATATG